AAAAAAAAAAAAAAAAAAAAAAAGACTTGTTACCTTGGGCAAGTCACTTAACGTCAATTTTCTCATGCTACTGTGGCTATAAGCATGGACTCTGGAGATAGAGACTGCCTGGTTTCCAACCCTGGCTTTATGCTTCCATGCTGTGCGATACTGGACAGTTTTCTAAGCCCCAATATCCTTCTCTGTACAATGAGGATAGCAGTAGGAACCAGCCCGGGGTGCTGTGAAGGTTAGTGAGTCAGTCCTCACAAGCGCTACAAAAGGGCCTAGGGTTTAGTGAATAGCTGGTGCCATTGTTGTCGTCATCATTGTCATTGCTATTTCAATTATAAGACACATTGACTATAGATAAGTAAATTTCCTTTTCTGAACCTTGTTTTGCACATCTGAGGATGATAACTCCTCTATTCTATGGAGGATGTTTACATATTTCCTTCACACAGTAGGAGCTGGCCAAAGGGCAGTGGTTCTGGTTCTATAAGGGCTGGCATTAGCCGTGAGGGAAGGCCTTGGTGCCCACCGCGCTAAGCATGAGCAACATGTGAGGGCTGCATGTCCCCCTGAGCTTCCTCACGTGTGCCATCTTGTTTAGACCTTCAGCAGCTTCTAAGAAAGTTAGAATATCTCCATTTCATTTTCATCCAGAAGCAACAAGGCCTGGGCCCAGAGCACCCAAGAGTTCGTAGATGGTCATACTTCAAGGTCTAGAACCCGAGTGGTGGTGGTAAGGGGTATTCCAAATCCCACTTCACAATTCTTTTCAAATTTAGAATCCTTCCAAGATATGGGGGGCAGCTATTTTTGACTCCATTTCACAAGTGAGCAAACAGTGGCCCAAAGAGGTATCACTTACCCAAAGTCACATAAGAAGTTAAATTTTGGGCTCAGTGCCTGTAGCTCAGCAGCTAGGGTGCCAGCCACATACACCAGAGCTGCGGGGTTTGAATCCAGCCCCAGCCTGCCAAACAACAATGACAACTACAACCAAAAAATAGCCAGGCATTGAGCGGGCACTTGTAGTCCTAGCTACTTGGGAGGCTGAGGCAAGAGAATCACTTAAGCCCAAGAATTTGAGGTTGCTGTGAGCTGTGATGCCACCGCACTCTACCCAGGGTGACAGCTTGAGATTCTTTTTCAAAAAAAAAAAAAACCCGGCTCGGTGCCTATGGCTCAAGCAACTAAGGTGCCGGCCACGTACACCTGAGCTGGTGGGTTAGAAGCCAGCCTGGGCCCGCCAAACGACAATGATGGCTGCAACCAAAAAATAGCCAGGTGTTGTGGCAGGCACCTGTAGTCCCAGCTGCTTGGGAGGCGGAGGCAGGAGACTCACTTGAGCCCAGGAGTTGGAGGTTGCTGTGAGCTGTGATGCCACAGCACTCTACCCAGGGGGACAGCTTGAGGCTCTGTCTCAAAAAAGAGAGAGAGAAGAAAAAAGCAAGTTAAAATTTGGATCTGCCTTCTGAAGCCAGGATTAGTCCCAATCTGACATGGCCTGCATAGAGCAGGCCTCTTGGTTTGTGGCCCCTTTTCTGCTTGAGTCCATGATAACTGGGCACTGGTGGCTCTGTCCTCTCCTCCCTCTCCCCCGTCTTGCCTTGATTAATAGCTGAGAGGCTGAAGAGTGAGCACTGGTTTGGGAGTTCAGCAACAAGTGTTCTAGTCCTGGCTCTGCCCAGCCCAAGGTGTTTCCTTAAAAAGGGTATTGGGGGGCAGTGCCTGTGGCTCAAAGGAGTAGGATGCTGGCCCCATATACCAGAGGTGGCGGGTTCAAACCCAGCCCTGGCCAAAAACTGCAAAAAAAAAAGGGGGGGTGGGATTGGATTATGCTGTCCATAAAGCAAGCAGGTATGCCTGTTGATCTCCATCTCCCTTCAAGATGCAACCGGGTAGGAACAAGCTACAAACCAGGAGGAACAACCTGGGCTGCACCAGACAAGGGACGATAGTCTCCCAAGTCTGTGAGGGATGGAGAAAGACTTGAGGCCTGCAGAAAAGGGTGGTGTGAGGGTGGCTCAAAAGGGAGGGTCTAGAGAGGTCTAGCTATCTGATTTTTATATCAAGTCCTAAGAAGAGAAAATGGGTTTACTCGGCAAAAAGAAGAGTTGAGATTGGACACTGGGGAAACTTGAGAGTAGCTGTGGAAGTGGCACGGAGAAGAGCCTGCCCTGGGGAGGTGGGACAGTAGAGGACAGGCTTCAGATGCTCTTCTGATTCCAGGAGTGGAGGGCGTTGATGTCACGCAGCAAAAGGAACCCTAGGGATTCCCTCTTCACTTGCCCAGTGACCTCTTAGATGGATCACCTCCTGTTTGAGGCCTTCTTTTTCCTATCTAGAAAATCTGCTGGTAGCACTGGCTGGTCGCTGTGGTCTGACTTCCTGTGACTCTTCCCTCCAGGGCTTTCACCAGTTCTTCCTCCCGGACAACCAACCTGACACTCGCCCCTTAATCCTCACAAGCCTGGGATCGGAGTTGATACGGATGAACAGAGACAATTTTTATGAACTGATTGATGATGAGATAAGACAGAATTTGTTGCAGTCCAGGGTTGACTACCCCAGGTCAGTGCTAGAAATGCGCATAAATCCCATCAGATAAAAATGAACAGTTTTTCACCGGTTATTTTAGTAAAAGGAAAAAAAAATAATACTTAGTGCTGACAAGGGGGAAATGAAGCTAGTAGTTGTTGGTAGCCGCTAAATCAGCTCAATCCTTTTGCTAATTTTAGCATTATGTTTCAAAGGGTATAAAACTGTTTCAACCCTTTGAGGCAACGATTCATCTGTGAATTTATCTTTATATAAACAAAATATGGGGAAAGCTACTACATTAAGATGATCATAGCAATCTTGTTCATAATAGAACAATGACAACACCACCTGTGTGTGCCACACTGAAGGAATAGTTTAGAGAATTGTGATATATTCCCTTGATAGAACCTAATTGTTTTATTTTAAAAAAGTAAGTTTAATGGCTCTAGGGCAGTAAGGTAAGATGGGTGATATAGTGACACATGAAAGGCCATGACTATACCTTTGCAAAGCACTTATATAAGAAAAATCTAAAAGGAAATAATCCAAAATGACAATGGCGGTAGTGTGCACATATTGTTCAATTTGTAATAATTCTTTTTTTTTGAGACAGAGTCTCAAGCTGTCACACTGGGTAGAGTGCTGTGGCATCACAGCTCACAGCAACCTCAAACTCCTAGGTTTAAGCAATTCTCTTGCCTCAGCCTCCCAAGTAACTGGGACTACAGGTACCCTCCACAATGCCCAGCTATTTTTCTGTTGCAGTTGTCATTGTTGCTTAGCTGGCCTGGGCTGGGTTTGAACCCACCAGCTTTGGTGTATGTGGCTGCTGCTGTAACCACTGAGCTACAGACACCAAGCCTGTAATACCGTGTTTCCTCCAAAATAAGACACTGTCTTATATATATATATATATTTTTTTTTTTTTTTGAGACAGAGCCTCAAGCTGTCCCCCTGGGTAGAGTGCTGTGGCATTACAGCTCACAGCAACCTCCAACTCCTGGGCTCAAGCGAGTCTCCTGCCTCAGCCTCCCAAGTAGCTGGGACCACAGGCACCCGCCACAATGCCTGGCTATTTTTTGGTTGCAGCCGTCATTGTTGTTTGGCGGGTCCGGGCTGGGGATTCGAACCCGCCACCTTAGGTGTACGTGGCTGGCGCTTTAGCCGGTTGAGCTATAGGCGCCGAGCCACTGTCTTATATTTTTATTATTATTTTTTTTTGCAGTTTTTGGCAAGGGCTGGATTTGAACCTGCCACTTCTGGCATATGGGGCCAGCGCCCTACTCCTTTGAGCCACAGGCGCTGCCCTATTTATTTTTTCTTAAAAAGACACACTAGGGCTTATTTTCAGGGGATGTCTTATTTTTATTACGTATAATACAACAATCTACATTTATTCAAATACAGTTAAGTCATCTTCTTCTGGAACCTGACAGGGGGAGCCGACCTTGTTGGTGGGGCTGGCTCTAGCGATGCGTGAACTCCTTTCCCCTAGCTGTTCGCACGTGCGCAATAGGATGCCTGCAACCGCTGGTTACCAAACGTGTACCCGCGCAAGTGCGAGCCGCTCAGAGAAAAGAGCTGTGGCAGATAAAAGGTATTCCAGTCTTCCTTACTGCTCTGCGCCCAAATGCAGGGTGTGGCTATCCCTAGGTCTTAGTATGGGGGTAGGGCTTATATTTAACTAATGCATAGAAATCTTGCTAGGGCTTATTTTTGGGGTAGGTCTTATTTTCTGTGAAGCATGGTAGTTGTTTTCTGTGGAAGGCAAGACTAAAGGGGACTTCCTGGTTATATGTTATATACTCCTCTCATGTTTGTTCTTGCAATGAGTATGCATTGCTTTTATAATGAGGAGGAAAAGAGAAATTTTTTAGCAGTTGACAGCATAGGATATTCCAAGTGGGTTTATTTTTTTCTTTTCCCTGTTCTCTAAATTTTCAGCAATGAATAACATGCTACTTTTTGTAATTTTAAAGTGTATCGAGATTGAGAAATTAGATTAAATATTATTTCTCTCTACTTCTTCATAGTTCCCACATTTTTCAAATGGAAGGTTAATGCTTTTATGATGGAGAAAATAACTTTTTTAAAAAACATAAATATTAGGGCGGCACCTGTGGCTCAGTGAGTAGGGCACTGGCCCCATATACTGTGGTGGTGGGTTCAAACCCGGCCCTAGACAAACTGCAACAAAAAATAGCCGGGCATTGTGGCAGGCACCTGTAGTCCCAGCTACTTGGGAGGCTGAGGCAAGAGAATCACTTAAGCCCAAGAGTTTGAGGTTGCTGTGAGCTGTGACACCACAGCACTCTACCAAGGGCAATAAAGTGAGACTGTCTCTTAAAAGAAAAAAAAAAGTAAACATCTATTTATTGTCCAGATCAGTGGTCTCAAAACTGTTTTAATCTCATCCTGCTATTACTAAAAAGTGTTTGAGCATGTCCTTCCTAGTATGCGTATGTCATGTAAATAACACGTATATTTATTTTTATTACATCTACATACAGTATTATTACACTGACATATAAACATATAAAATAGATCTTTAAAAAGATAAGACAAAGGGGTGGTGCCTAGGGCTCAGTGAGTAGGGCACCAGCCCCATATATGAAGGGTGTTGGGTTCGAACCCAGCCCTGGCCAAACTGCAACAAAAAAATAGCAGGGCGTTGTGGCAAGCACCAATAGTCCCAGCTACTCTGGAGGCTGAGGCAAGAGAATTGCTTAAGCCCAAGAGCTGGAAGTTGCTGTGAGCTGTGACGCTACGGCACTCTACTGAGGGCAACAAAGTGAGACTATCTCTTAAAAAAAAAAAAAAAAGATAAGACAAAGATGAATGGAAATGGAAATGAAATCCTACTATACGCTTCACTTACTCCAGGGGATCTTATACACCTTCCTGGGTTACATGTCTCCCCACCCTACTTTGGGACCTCTGGCCTAGACCCTTGCAAGAGTCATACTGCTGTCCTCCTGCCTCAGTTTCCTCCTTGCCAGATCCTTTCTGCATATTTTGTTCTTGTTAAAACTCCTAATCTGGCTGTGTTAAACTACTGCTTTAAACCTTTCAATGGTATCTCACCACCTGTAGAGTAAAGTCAAACTCAATGTCACATAAATGGCCCTTGATAGTCTTCTCCTCACTCGAGTGCCCCACAGCACCTCCTGCCCCTCAGCCCACTCTCCAGCAACTTGGACAGATTGTCTACTGAGTCCTACACATAATCCTGGCTTTGCCAGTGCTGGACTGTCTGCTGGAAATGCTATCCCCCAGTCCTGCATCCTCTTTCCTGGTAAATTCCTGCTCACTTTGTAAGATTCATCTTTTCTAGCAAACCTTCTCTGACTGGCCCCAGTTTGAGATACGTACCCCTTTCTGCACACCGACGATATTCTCCACACACCTCTGTCTTCAGCCTTGCCATGCTGGAGTATCATCGTCTGCAGAGCTCTTTCCCCAACTCTTGAGTCAGTGCTTCCTGAAGGCAAGGCTTTTGTGCTTCCTAAGGCTTTCATCTCTAACACCACACAGTACCAGCATGCAGTAGGTGCTCAATAAATGTTAAAGGAATGAAGGAATGGGCCATCCTCACTGCAGAAAACTGGAAATGCTGAACAGTAAAGAAGGCAAAACTAAACCATGTGCAATTCTCCAAAAATGCCAGTTAGCATTTTGTGCATTTCCTTTTAGTATTTTTTTCACCTCATGGTTATGAGCCAAATATACATCTATCAGTTATGCATAGGAGGTTTTCATCATGGAGCGCATACTGATGATACAATTTTGCAGCTTCTATTTTTCCTTTATTTGTGGTTGTGTTCTGATGAGACATGGTTTTGCTAGCAGGTGTGGGCAGCAAGTGATTCCAATGGTAGAGGAGGGGGGAGGAAGGAGGATCTAGAGATCCTCCAATAACCACACGAAAGAATTGCTGTGAGTTCTATGTGACTGTGGACAAGTCATTTCCCCCTCTCTAGGCATCAGACTCCGGTTGAGAAAACAAGAAAATTAGGTGACGTAAGTTTCCCAAAGTATGGAACATATTCCATAGGAAATTTGCAAGATGGTTTTGGGTGGTACACAGATCGGCATTTTTAGTTTTAAAAGTATCTAATGCAATGTATTTATTCTAGTGCAAATTAGAAACACAACGTGACTAGCTTACTAACTCCATGACTTAACAGATCTTGCTGCCTAGGACAAAGCTAAAGTAAATATTTAAGTAAAAGAAACTATAGGCTCGGCGCCTATAGCTCAACCGGCTAAGGCGCCAGCCATGTACACCTAAGGTGGCGGGTTCGAATCCCCAGCCCGGACCC